AGTTAGAAAAGACACCAATATTCAGAGGCTTGGGAATCTCCTGAATCTATTTCTGTCATCTCTCTGCTCAGTTTTATTGCATTAGAATCAGAGATACTTGTCATGTAAATGTATTACATACATTTTTCCATGATACATGATGGGGGCTATATTTAATTTGTTAATAGTTTGATAAACATTCTTTTACTAAAGTTCATCTTATCACCTTTTTCATGTGGCTGGTGCTTTTAGTGCCAAGTTAATTCTTGCCTGTTGAACATCATAAAGATGTGTTTCTCTCAGAAATTATTAGTTTCAACTTCCATATTTAAATCTGAAATTTATTGGGAATTGAGAGGATTTTTTCTCCTCTTTTTTTATATGTAGTATGAGGGAAGAATCAAGAGTTTGTTTTTTAACTCCTCTGCTATTCAATTAACAAGCATCATTTATTGGATGGTTCTCCCCTTTGTCCAATGTGCCTAAGGATTGGCTGAGTTGCCTAGCATGTGATCTGCCCATCACAAGTCTCTTCTCACTCTATTCTGTTCTATTTGTCATCAAGAACCTTAACAGTATGCCAATGTCTATGTTATTTAATGAATCCTCTTATCTCACTCTGCACATTCCCAGTTGTTCTTGTATGTTTTTGACTTTCATATTTCTCTTTGGTTTTTAGAAGCAATCTGATGGTTGGAATTCTGTTGGATCAGTAGATTCATTTGAAGCAGTTAAATATCTTTTTTAAGCCTGCCTGTTTATACTATGGTAAATCTCTTCACCAGATCTTCTTGGCTTTCTTTTGGTAAACTTTATTATTCTAGATATGGACCTACAGAACAATTTAGTAGGATGTATTTCTGTTCATTTGATATATATGATGATATTTGAGAATGCTGTTTGGAATTCATTCCTATGTGTTTCCTGTGGGTGTCTGTAAAAAAACAATTCTTGTTGATGGTATTGGGGATTGAGGCTAGGGCCCCAGACACTGTAAGCAAGCATTCTACCACTAACCTATATCTCTAGCCTTGGTCTTACTTTTTCTTTTGAGACAGGGTTGCTAAATTCCTCAGGCTAGCCTGGAAATTACATTCTTTTGTCTCTGCCTATTGGGTGGCTAAGGTTTTAGGCCTAGGCCACCACTCCCAGAGCACAGATGCATGTTAGACATTGACCTAAAAAAAACTTTCTTGTTACAGACAATTCATTCTGACATTTTGAAATTTTGGAAGTGTTATAGAAACATCTGTAGATAATAACAAGAGTGCTCTTAGGAGACGGGTACCATTGCTTTGGTAAACTGTAGAATGATGCAACCTTAAGTATCCCTTATGAGAGACTCTGCATAGCAGCCCACACACCTCTATCTTATACCAGGCTCTCTAAGTCTTCACCATAGTTATGTTCTGTTTTGAAATACTAAGAAAAACAAACACAACTCTGCCTCATTTTCTGTCAGTGCTTCTCGTGTAGTCTAGGAAAGTACATCTAATGATTTCAAATTTCAGTGTTTATTTTAAAATTCATGCTATTCATACTCATCTAAAAAACACCTACATTTTCTTATGAAGATAAAGCTGTAAATAACTGGTACCAAATGGCATTGAGAAAAATAAGCTTCATGCCCCATGCCTTTGTGCCTTTGGCCCACATGTTCTTTTGCTACTACTGAATCTCTTCACTGAGAAGTACAGTTAATCCCAACAATTGGAGCTCTTCCTCCTTGTAGCTATACAGTGAGACCACAGCACACATGCAGAGCTGTTGTGGGATATTTGTACACTGTGTGAAAAATGTATTGCTGTGATTGGTGCAATAAAAAACAGAACAGCCAATAGCTAGGTAGGAGGTATAGGCTGGACTGCAGGGCAGAGAGGGGACTCTGGAGAGAAGAAAGCACAGCAGCCACCCAGATGTGGAGGAAGCAACATGAGCAGTATGGAGAGATGAGGTTATTAGCCACTCAACAGAACATAGATTAAAATAAATGGATTAATTTATGTTATAAGAGCTAGCAGGACAAGCATAAGCTAAGGCCAAGCTTTCATAATTAATAAGTCTCCATGTTATTATTTGGGGCTGGCAGTGGAAAAGAAAACTTGAACACAGAGAGCAGAGATCTGATCATTGGTAGAAGCCACATGCCTATGTAATGCTGACAAACATGCCCATGATAAAAGTGTATGAATGACTGGGTGCTATTCTGATAGAAGCTCCACCTCAGCCACTGTCATCCATATACCCACAGAGCCTGGGATGTTCTGATGGAAGCTCCTCCTCAGCCACTACCATCCATATACCCAAAGAGTGTGGGATGTTCTGATGGAATCTCCTCCTCAGCCACTATCATCCATATACCCAAAGAGTCTGGGATGTTCTGGTGGAAATTCCACCCCAATACCCCTTCCCCCATCTCTCTCTCTCCAAATCCTGCACCATCCCAGAAAGCCCACCAAACAGAACTCCTCCCCCGGAGATGCTCAAGACCACTCCCACAGGGCATTTAAATTGCCCCCCAGAAAACAGACATGTGGTTTTTGCAGGGTCTCTAGTTCCTTCTTTCTCAGGGATGGAAAATCATCCAGGAGTGTTTTATACATTAAACCTGGATTTTTTTCTAATTTGTTTGATTTGGTCTGATTTGGATTGCTGTATAGAGAGGCTTATCGGGGTGCAGAAACTTTTCAGGTGTGTCCACCACCAGAGAAAGCCTGAGTTCCTGAAACTCAATACAGCACTCTGTATAGTAGTGGGGGTGGGGGAAAACAGTTCCATAACATTCTTTTCATTAAAAGGAAAGCACATTGAGAGATTGATCTATACAAGTCAACAAAGTGAATAGATTAAGCCGAACTTGGTCATTTATTTATACTCAAGACACTCTTGGTTTCAAACTTTGCTCTTTTGATGTAAGTGATGGACAGCCAGAAATTGAATTACAATTTTCATTCTACCAAGAAAAGGGCTGTTTAATACTGTAGATCAAGTTATACTAGCATGAGGATAATGGGTAGCTCTGCAGAGATCAGGTTAAACCTCATTGCTTCATTCAAGTCAAGTCGACCTAAATGTTTAATATACAGCACCCACTTTTGATATCCTATAGTTACCTACACAAAATAATTTTTTTTACAAAACTATCATTTTTATTTGTGGGGATCTGGCCTGGGCCACTGAAAATTATCCATTAACTTCAGTCAGTTATCATAGAACATCCATCTATGACAGACACAGACTTCATTTTCAAGCAAGCATTTTTCAGTCAGATTTGATACACTGTCAAGGTCAGAATGTCTTAAAAACAGAGACCTCAAAGTTAAGAACTGTAGTAATATTTTGTTTGTGTTTTAATAATACTTGCCTGATGATTGGAGTGCAAAGCTAGCCACACTAGTTAACCAGGGAGGCCAGGCAGTGGTGATACACACCTTTAATCCCAGCACTCAGGAGACAGAGAAAGACAGATCTCTGTTAGTTCAAGGCCACCCTGAGCTACACGAAATTGATCCAGTTTAAAAGAGAAACAGAACTCACACAAAAGTGATCTCAGTACTTGGGATCCCACGCCTTTAATCCCAGCACTAGAGAGGAATATAAGGCAGGAGACAGGAGCTCAGTGCAGTTTGAAATTTGGTAAAGACAGATGAAGTCTAGAGATGCAATCAGAGCACATAGTTGCCCCTTCTGTCTGAGTATTAGTAGAGGTGAGAACTCTCTAGTGGCTAGCTGCTTTCTTCTCTGACCTTCAGCTTTAACCCCAATATCTATCTCTGGATTTTTATTATTAATACCAATTAGAATTTATGCTATAAAGAACTCTCTGGTGAATGAGGCAAAATCTCATCATAGGTATACAGTGAGACATATTTCAATGTATTTATAGTTGTAGTCCTTAAAATAAGAAGTTGTTGCATTTTGGTTTAATTTGCTCAAATCTCTGAATGTTGTAGCTTTCCATAAAATAAATCTAGTTTATAAAAAATCATCATACTTTTAAAGATTTTTAATAGGTCAAAAACCATGTCTTGGCTTAATCTCTATTGTTCCTAAAAGCATACAGTTAAGCAATAGGTGAATATTTAAAAGTTTACTATCAGGACAGCCACCAAGTAAACACTTGCCAAGCCATTACTTCAATAGTAAAACACAACAAATCTCTGATTTTACTTTATTTTATAGCTCTTATTTTTAAAATGCATGCTGTTCATTCAAACAATAAAATTAAATCTAAAATGATAAAAAAATTGAATGCAGATGGAAATAAATTCAGATTCCTTTATGGTTTGTTTTGCCAATAAGATTTATCCCAGTTAGGGGACAGAGTCATCCAAAGACCTTTACACTGAATATCTGTGAGTTTTAAATTTTAATTTCATTTTTAATTGTGAACTTGAGTGCAGGTGCCTCAAAAGTCAGTGGTATTGGGTTCCTCCAGAGCTGGAGTTTCAGGCAGCCAGCCAAAGCGGTCCTGGGACTCGAACTGGGGTCTAACTTGGGAAGAAGAGCACATGCTCTTAACTGTTGAGCCATCTCTCAAGCCTGAATATCTGCAAATTTTAGTATATCAACACATGCCAAGTAATTCCTTTAAATATCTATTAAAGGGACCACTCTCCCTGTCTAATTTGCTTTTGAAAAATATTCAATGTTTCTACTTTAATTCACTTAGTAATGAAAAGTAAACGAGACCAACAAGCATGTTTGATTTGTCATGGAACAGAAACAGCTTTGCAAGAACAAAATTAAATTAAAATAAGTGATTCTCCTCTATGGTGAAATTGAATTCCCCCCTCCCGCCCAAACTTCATAACATCTATGAAATACAAGGCAGACACCAGCAAGATAGAGTGTCTTGCTACTCAGCATGCTCATTGGCCCCTACTCCTGACCTATAGATGGTCTATGTGGCAGGACAGGGACAGGTCTACAGAAAACATACATGTCCACATATTTTACTGACATAAGCTGAGAATGGCTGGGGCTGCAGGTCACACTGTCCCAATGGGTGTTCCACCTACCGTTTTTGCAGATGGGGCAGCACTGGTCAGGCTCGTACACGGGGTCCACACATTCCGTCTGGGGACAGGCCGACACTGTACACAGCACTTCACCATTGGCTTCACAGCGACACCGCTCACATGGAGACACCTGAGACACAAGTCCATGATCAGGGTCACACCTCCCACAGTCCTTGTCCTATAAAGTCATATCTTTATTTTTAGATATGAAGATGTCCTGATGTTTTAGGAATAACATTTTTAAGTTCTTGGGCCCAGTATTTTTTCAAATGTGGATGAAAGTTCCTGGTGTTGCCTGAGGAGTAAATGCAGGTATTCACTGGGGCTCCAGTCAGGGCAGGGACTACTTTGAAAGCATCCCTTTGAAGAAATATTTCTGTTGCTTCCAAAAATCAAGTTACTACTGATTTCTTGCTCAACAAAGCCTTACTCTTCCATAGCTCTGAAAACTCTACACTTAATCTAGCATGGACTGTTCCTAATATTTCTCAGAACCGGGTGGAGGGAGGTAGGGAGAAAGGAAAATACAAGACACTCACATAGTCCTCTGAGGCCAGGAGGCCCTTGTCAGGAGCTGCATGACCTTGATGTCCCAGAGGTCTTATAGCCACACTAAGTGCTCTGCTGAAATGGTTGGCCCTGTCTACTGGAAAGGAACCTGAGACTTGGAGGCATTAGGCAACTTGCCTTCACCAGGTATCCTAAGGGATCAAGCTGAGATGCCATAGAGGGCTCTTGACTATAGCTCCATGCTACCTCCTCTCCAATGCCTCACAGGGTCATTCCTTCATGTCATCAGTGGTACCATGTTCTTCTGGGAACCAAGACTGAGAGGTATTAGGGTCTGTCTGTATGTATGTCTCTGTCTCTGTGCTCCCTACCCTGAATGAGTCTGTCTGTCTGTCTGTCTGTCTGTCTGTCTGTCCTCTGTCTTTTTGTGTATGTATACAGAGAGGGGGGACACTTAAATATTTCCCAATAGCCCAGAATAAAATGTTGTCCTATTTTTCAAGTTAAAACCAACTTTACAACAATATCAAGGCACAGTTTTAAGAAGTATTTTTGGCACAATATAGTGTGGGGGATTTTGTAATGTGAATTTTTGTTGTTGTTGTTTTCCTCAGTTTTTCCTGGTTAGAGCACTGCATCTCTGTCTCAAGAGCAGATGTAGACAGCAAGTAACATGAGGAAAATATTCTGAGTTTTAAAAGCAAAGACCTTGAGTTGCAAGGGAAGCAGTCAAGTGCATGTCAGATCCCTTTAACTGGAAGGACTTCAGGCAGAAGCCAAGAAGCCCAGATGGTATGGCTTAGAGATGCAGAGCCATGATGCCCCAAGGGAGCACAGGCCTACCCAGCTTAGGGCAGTAGAGCTAGCAATGGGCAGGAAGGTCACATATTTGCATATATCCTTAGGAAGCTGCTCTAGGAAGAAAAGATGATGCTCAATATGAGATGGATTTAAAGGAGACAAAATGGGCCCTCTGTCAATTCCTTAGGCAAAACATGCACTTGAAAATCAGACTGAATCAGTATTCAAGCAGGTGGCCTTTTGGTGAGTCTACCCTTCCACATGAGGCCTCAACCTGTCCTAGAAATGAAGTCCCCTATCTCCACGCCAAGCTAAATCCTCCCTATGTGAGGGCTGCAGAGTACAGTTCACCTGTAGACATACAAAATGGTTTGCTATTCTTTATTCTTTTTGATTGTGGGTTTACTGTCACTAGATATTAAGAAGTCTGACTCAGCTACACAGGAATTTGTTCACTTCTCAAACACCAGAATTAATACTCCATCTGGGTTACCATGAGTGTCCCTCTCCAGACTCCCCTCTACCACCCATATCTCCTAAAATCAGCTCCCGCACTGGGGCTGCCTTCACTCCAATCCCAGTTTCAGGCCACCCCAGCTCCTACAAAGAGAGGGTGGTGAGAGGGAGTTTCAAGTCTCTGTTGGTTCCCTGAGGTGCTCTTCTGGTACCACCTGGGAAAGAGTTCTTCAGCAGGTCACAGGCCCCTAGTTCCTAAGATACCAGTCTTTCCTGTTTATTAATGGGGTGCCCACCTTGTCCAGGACCCAGCCTCACTTCAGAACTGCCTGTAGAGTGTTCATGTTCCTATCTTCTGCAAGACAATACAGTCTAATACTTGCTTCTGAATCACACAACTGACCATCCAGTTTCTGTACTCCTCTGTGACCAACTGTCAGTCTCTTTTGCCACTCCTTGTGCTGATTCCTTGTCATTGATTAAGCTACAGCCAGGTAACCAGGCATGCCTAGGAATAATGCTACCTCCTTATTTGTGAAGCTCAGTGATACTTATCCTTCAATTATCTTGGCTTTCACTCTTCTGCTCTTCATTTGTACAGACCTGTGCACCTTTTAAATGTCATACCAAATCAATCTCTGCTGACTATAGAGCCAGCTGAGATGTGCCCATCAAAGCACGGATAGAGCTGGGGTCTTTCCTCCAGTAAGCCATCACTCAACTCTGTCCCTTGGCCTGTTACATAGCCCTGACAGCATATGAAATGTTGCTAATTTTAAAAATAAAACAAGACAAAGGAAATAAAAAAATAACCAAAATAGTGTTCATGGGACCTCATGAGCCAACCAAGAAAGTTGTAACCAGGCTCAACCTTAGCATAGCACATTAAAAATTAACCCCTTGAGGCTGACAGGGACCCAGAGGGACTCAGGCTAGATCTTGTTGCACCTCTGGCTCTGACCCGGACTGGCCATCTAAAACTGACTCTGTTCAGCGGCCCGGGGCACAGCAACCTACCAGGAGTGATCCTAACATGTATCAACAAGAAAAGCATGGTTTTTCCCAACCAGGAAACGGGGATGAAAACATTCTCTGTTCATGCCATCCTTCCAGCTACAATTCAGAAGTGTGAACTTCTTCTGCCACCTTTTGGAAGGGTGAGGATAAGATTGTGTTTGAGGTGGGGTATGTATGCATGTGTGTGTGTGTGTGTGTGTGTGTGTGTGTGTGTGTGTGTGTGTGTGTTGGGGGGGCTGATGAACAAGTAGGGTAGCTGGACATAGCCCCTGCTGGAACAGCTCTAATTTCACCCTGCTGGTCTTGTCCCTTGTCCACGTGGCTTTCTTAGTTACCATGTGTGTTATGCTGGCAAGCAGCAGCTCGTTGTTAGAGGAAATCCAAGAAACATACTCTAAAACCAAAGCAGAAATTTTTCAGTAAAACAACTCTGACTACAGCATGGACAACAAAGTGTAAATAAATACAGTAATTCAATGGTAATAAAAGTAGATCAGGCCGGGCGTTGGTGATGCACACCTTTAATCCCAGCACTCAGGAGGCAGGGGCAGGCCGATCTCTGTGAGTTCGAGACCAGCGTGGTCTACAAGAGCTAGTTCCAGGACAGCCTCCAAAGCCACAGAGAAACCCTGTCTCACAACCCACCACCCCAAAAAAGTAGATCAGTCATTACTTGGGGTGCCCTCACAGCGCTCAGTAGATACACGACATGTGTCTCTGTCACATGAACAGCTGCCGCAGTCTATGCAATAAGTACTGAGGCTGTATCTTTTGACTCAGTAGAAGTGGATGTGGTGGTTTAAAAACAAATAATGTCCCCAAAGACAGTGGCACTATTAGGGGGTGTGGCCTTGTTGAAGTAGTTGTGGCCTTGTTGGAGGAATTGTGTCATTGTGGGGGTGGGCTCTGAGGTCTTTTTGTTCAAGCTTCACTCAGGGTGATACTGAGACCACTTCCTGTTGCTTGCAAGATGTAAGACTCTCAGGTTCTTCTCCAGCACCATGTCTGCCTGCATGCTGCCTTGTCTCATCATGGTGATAATGGACTGAACCTCTAAATTGTAGACCATCAATTAAATGTTTTCATTCCTAAGAGTTGCTGTGGTCATGTGGTCATGGTGTCTCTTCACAACAATAGAAACCCTAAGACAGTGGAAAATGTAGTTAATACATGAAATTAGTTTCATGTATAAAATGGAGACCATAAAAATGAACACTGTTCCTTACACATGAACTATGTATCCCCACATGACCTAATCACTTCCTTAAAGATCCTACCTCTTCAAGAGTCCATCCATCACCACAGGGATGATCAAGCCTCAAACATGTGTACTCTACAAGATGGCAAGTTGTATATAATTTGTATTAATGAACTTGGGTGGAATTCGGTGTCTTTGTGTATGAAGCTCTGCCTTGGTTACTTTGTAAATTCTAATTACTGATATCACAAGAGGGGCCTACAGAAAACTCCTTAAATTTAAATCCTGATCTTGCCTATGTCTCTCAATTCTTTCCTGTGGAAAAGAAGAAATCTCTCCTCCCCTCCCTTCCCCTCTCCCCTCCCTTCCCCTCCGCTCCCCTCTCCTCTCCTCTCGTCTCCTTCTTCTCCTCTCTTCTCTTCTCCTTCCCCCTCTGTCTCTGAGACAGGGTCTCACTATGTAGCCCTGGCAGTCCTGAAACTCACTATGTAGACCAGCACAGAGACCCACCTGTCTCTGTCTGCAGAGTGTTGGGATCAAAGACATGCAATACTATGCCCACCTGGAAAACAAGAAATCTTTCCAGATACTTCCTCCTGCTCATTCCTGTTTGCATCACAGCATTTTCTCACCACACCAGAATTGCTCCCTGCTCAGGAATTCCGTGCTCCTTTCTCAAATCAATTCAAACGCTGTTCTATGCTGCAAGAAAGGGGCATTGGTATATAGAGTTGTGTGTATGTCAACCATCCTGTTGTAATAAGTCCTCTCTATTATACTCCTTGTCCAGAGGTTGTCACTAAGAACTGTCGAGTAGAAAGAAATCAGAGAAGCATCACCCTTTACAATTGCCACAAGCAACATAAAATACATTGGAGTAACACTAACCAAAAAAGTGAAAGACCTGTACCGTAAGAATTTTGAGTCTCTAAAGAAAGAAATTAAAGAAGATACCAGAAAATGGAAAGATCTCCCATGCTCTTGGATAGGTAGGATCAACATAGTAAAAATGGCAATCTTGCCAAAAGCAATCTACAGATTCAATGCAATCCCCATCAAAATCCCAACACAATTCTTCACAGACCTTGAAAGAACAATTCTCAACTTTATATGGAGAAACAAAAGACCCAGGATAG